TAAATGCACGTCAATATTTACATTGTCTGATATTTCAATATTTCAAATTAGAAAGGTGTATGTTTCATGTATCAGAAAATGGAAGCTAGAATCGATCAGGAGATCCAAGATCGGGATAGTGTCAAGATGCAGATGCGTCGACTTTGGATTATCGTGACCTTCAATCATTGCACGAACGATGACGGGACGGTGTTTAATGTACTGAAAGACGTTCCGTGGCCGATTCCGCCAGGCAAGTCATCCCAGTGATTGTATGTTTCAGGATTCCGAACCAGTAGCCGCCTCAGTCTCGCTACCGTCCGTTGATCGTTCAATACACAATACGCTTGGGAACTATTCCAGTAGTTAGGCTGCTAGCTAAATCCTTTTGGATAAGAAGATCACTTTGAATTTTTCGAACGTTACACACTCATACATTAATTGCCTTCGTTCTTCGAACTAACATTTCCCTCTTTTCCTTCTGCAATTCAATTTACTCTACTACTTCGAATAATTTACACCCTGCTTAAGTAAACTGAGATCTCCACACGAAGGAAAGATTACCGAATAAAAGTCAAGTAAATTTATAGGCCGTTTACGCTTCAAGGAGATCGTACATGTGTTTCATCGCCGGAGTGACTGATTCCTGTAGTAGCTAAATCCGACCAAGAAAAGTCTCCGTCGAGTCCGTGGAACGGGAAAGAAAGAAAAAAAGAACAAAAGGTTCGCAAATGTCCCGTTCGATGACTGTAATTATTTCAGTGGCAGTGTCGAGAGTTCGGAGCATGGACCATCGTTCCTCGTGGTCGATGTAACGATAGTGATAAATCCTTTTAAGGAGCGTCTAGCATGCTTTTAACGGCTGTTGCCCGCTATCGCCGCCGTAACCGCCGCTGAAAAATCCGTAACCGACGGATAATTGTTCGCAGTTATGCGGATAAACCGTGGACCAATATTCCCTGTGGCAAAGAAGCTCCTACTCCTCGTCCAGGCTCGCGAGATTGTTTCGCGAAATCCTTCCGTCGTAAAACGGGAACGGGCGCGCGTATAATCGTATAAAACTTTAGTTAAGCACAGAGATTATTATTGTCCCTCGCCGACGGACAATTAATCCATTTTCCGAGAAAGAATCACAGCTAAAGCTGCAGTATACGAAGTTTTACCTACAGACATTCAGGTTCATCGTAGATTTATGTAAATTCTGATATTTACACATCTCCACTTGCATCGCGATTGATACTGGAACTACCAAGCAAGTCAAAATTATCTGTCAGTATACACTCTCGTAACTTTCTGTATATTCTTGTAAATACTTTTGCAAATTTTTGTAATTCTTTATATAGTCCTGTAGAACTTGACTGATTAGTGGAATATTAGTAGAATATTAACCGATAATCGAGCTATTATTCTTCTCTAAATACACGTTTCCACAAAGCCCCGTAATAAAGATCGCCAGAAAAATGAACTTCTTCGAGACGACGCAAGAAACATCCGTGATGCAACGAAGAAACCAATCGATCATTACCGGTACAAATTAACCTGAATTCCTTGGGGCTGCAACGACTCGATCAAAGTTTTATCACGAGATTAGAGCACGCTGCTCCCTGGACTGTGCAAGGCCCGGAGAAAAACCAAGAACCGATATCACACCGTGAAATTCCGCCTAGTCGCGTAACACTCTGCCTGGATCGAGGATAGCGTAGACTAGTAGACGATCTAGCCGGATGGGTGCTAGGGAGACACACCGTCGAAATTCTCGTCGGGATCGAGAGGAGGGACAGGCGGAAAGAAGTTCCAAGAGAGTGTTGCGACCGCAAAGCCAGCGGACCGTTCAGAAGATCGGCTCGCATAGACGCGATCTCTCGAAAGAAGTACGCGTATTATTTATTTCACGGGTTTAAATTTAGACCTTAGCCACCGAAGGGAGGGGACGCGTGGTTTTTCGTTTGGCGCCATGAAATCGACCCGATTGGAAGAACCCGATGCAACGGTGGCGGCTAGTGGCCGAGAGATAGAGAGAATGCGAGCAAGAATCGGATGGGGTTTTTGGAATTCTTTCCGCCGCGAAAACCACGCGTCACGGTGCTTTGCCCGATGGTCCGTGGAATGGATTAATGAATAGCAACAGAGCGGGGATATCCCCCCTCTGGGATGAGTAATTTAAAACTGTACAACGAGAGAGAGATGGGCTACCGGTTTTACAGTCTCAGAACGGAATGAAGAAAAACCACAGAGGGAGGGAGAGAGAGAAGGACCAAGAAGCCAGGATATATCCTCTTATACATTGACTGATGAATATCGGCAGTTAATTAACCAATTCAACGGGCGTAATTCCTTCGTAAAGTGAACGTAAAACTTGATTACCCTCGTCGAACGGACCAGGATGTCCGGTCGCGAAGTGTCGATACGAATGTCGTTTTGCCAACATTAAACGCGCTGGAGTCACCGAGGAACGGGAAAGTTCAACGCTCCAGCAGTCATCGTTGTCGAGCTGGACAAACTCTCGTCTAAGGGAACGGCGATAATGATGATGATTCTACCCAGCAATTAGAATTCGCAGCTGGTACGATGGGACTGAACGAACCAGTCCGGTGAAGGAAGGCATATTGCTCTATCTCTATTCTCTGTCGCGATCACTCTGGTGTTTAACGGGTTTGACTCTCGAATCGCCTAGCCTAGGACGGCTATAGTTCCAAGAGAGAGACAGAGATTGCTTTCATAAAATCAGTGGACTGTGAACACGGAGGAATGAGCGGCGGCGACGACGACAGCTTCTGACCCGGCAAAAACTGGGCACGTCCGCTGAATTTTTGGCTGAATCTTCGATCCTCGTGGCCCGCGCGAACTGCCAGATATGCAGTCGGCTGAATCGCGAATGGCGATCGCATATGGCGTCCACACACTGTCCCCCTCCCACTGCTTGCTTCTCTTAGGGCATCAAGGGGAGCGTCGACGAATTTCTGCGGTGCAAATCCATTCCATAGGATAATGGATAATACATAATGATAACAGGAAAGCAAATTGGATGTCGTTTGTTATTTTTTTAGTTTCCACTAGAAGGTAGTAAGATAATTTGGAGCATCGAAGGAATTGTTATCAGCCTATTCGTTGGATAAAGAAGATCTTCGAGGGGGTTGGAGCTGAATCCCACCGTGGAAGGCTAGTCTTATTGTAGCGAGAGGCCAATTAACACTTCTAATCTCGGGAGGCGACGTTCTCGAGCTAATCCCAAGACGAGATCGGCGGTCTTGCACGTTATCTTGGACCATTGCCGACGTTACTTATCCATTGTCTCGGGCTTAAGGGAAACGGTGGCTAGATCTTAAATCTAAATTGCACCTGTTTGTCACTGTCCGCTGCCCCTAGCGCGCTGCGCGACAAACGTATCGTTCTGACAACGATTAACTCGCCTATCATGGGGGGACGCGATCGAGAGGATTTCTAGTTGGACGAGGAAAGGGAGAAAATTTTCGGAAAAATTTCGGAATAGATTTTAAGTAATTTCACACATTTAACAGGTTCCGTGACAAAGTGAAAAAGGCTATACGTAGGCAGACACTCTTTATTTCGTTCTCCAAATTTTAAATTACCGAAAATGTGTGTCTTCTGTTAATAGAGACTGTTGGTCTTGTTTCAAAATGACAGTTCGACATTCACACATACCGTGCCACATGTACCACCGATGGTACGCGTTAAACTTTCCATTCAGGCCGCGTGTACCACCGAACGCGTACTTGTGGCACGGAACGTATAAAACTTTAACACTGGAACTACCGACGATGAACGTATATCTATTTGTACTACATAGATTAATAAACATGACAAACATTCAGATATTCGAGGCTTTCGGGTGTAAGCCTGGTGGCATTATTTTCCCAACGTTTCGCAAGCATTGCAGCCAGCTTCACCAGGGTGTCGAATGTCAATAAAGAATAAACTATTAAAATATTATGCATCTCGAATGCTTCTTTGGCTAGAATTTCTACGATAATGATAGAGAACAGGATGTCCAAAGGTCGTAAGGTGATCGACGACCGTATGATCGAGAAAAAGTCGCGTCCGCGGTGGAAAAAAAACCAAAAAGAAGCAGAAATCGATCTCGGTTTGTCCGTATCGAATGCGGCTGACTAATCCACGAGTTATGCCCGGCTCCCGTATACGTTTACGTAGCGAACTATTTATCGACAGTTGTCGGGGCACGCCCCTCGTGTATACCTCTCTATTCCTTCGAACCACGCTGGAAACTCGCCTGCGATCCGTATCTTTGCCGGATTTTTCAGGTAATCACCGGTCTACCGATCCGTTTCAACAGCGATAATTGATTTCCAACTACTGGTCAACCGCATGAACGTATAAACGACAGCCAAGCAAAAATCAATCGACGAATTAGCGATGCTCTTTTCGTTGGTTAAAAAGTAACAATTTCGATCGTATTCATTTTAATTCTTCCTAATCGTGATTTAACAGCGATCAACTATCGAACAGGGAAAAAGAAAGGAAAAAGCCATTAGAATTGGTTCGATTCTGCCTGTAAGATCAATTCGTACGAATACTCGTTGGTGAATTAAAGGCCCGCGAGAGTCGTTCTTTCTCTGTTCGACGAACGACGACAAATCGCGTGGAAACTGAAAGCAGGAAGCGTCGACGACGAGCGGCTTCCTCTACCCGTTGTTTTCTTACGACCGAAACACGTTCGAGGGATCTTCCTGTAACCCTTTCAGGACGATCCTGAGGGTCTTGCTCGAATTCTTCTGCGCTTGGAATGCGATGCCACGAATAACGACGGAGAGAACCTCTGCTCCTGCGTCTTATTAGTCGGGCCATTGTGACCGTTACCGGAGCAATTGCCTTTAATTGTGAAAAATTTCACGAATAAAGGAACCAGATAGCAGAAACAGAAGAGTATACAGCCGACGTTTTATCCCTACATGTCAAATAAATCGAAGTGGTATTTCATCAGTTCAGTGTCACTTTCAATAAAAACTGTATCGAAAGAAAAAGAAAAGAGAAAAAATTCTTACCTTTAAGGTGAGAAGCGCCCCAGGAAATATACCGAGCGCCGCGAGACTTTGGCTGTGATCGGTGAGCTCGTGTTCGCCAAGCATCAGGTGTTGATCGTACGGTCCAGCGCCACAGATCTGCATAGTCTAGAATAGAATAAGTAATATTAGAGAAAGGTATTCGATCCTGTTAGCGCGCCAAAGGATCAAATTTACAATAACTCGAGGAGAATCTCCACGACAACGGTAACAAATTCTTCGGATACTACAGGAAATTGATAAAATTTCGAGACTCGCGCGGCCTTTCTTGCGCGTGCGTTGAAGTCCAAGGGGGGAGGGTAAGGGTAGAAGAATGGGAAGAAAAGGGCCGCATCTTGAAGTCGGAATCGAGAGAAGCATGCGTCCGGGGTAATTGCTTAATTTGTGGAAGCCGTCTCGAGAACGGTTTCGCGTTGGCCGTTCGAGTCCGTCCTGCGGGAGGCCAGCTTCCACGGTGCCGATGTAAACGTACAGGTCGGTTTCTGTTTTACGAGCGAGTAACCGTCGGGAAAAAGAGCCACGAACTCGAGACGATGGAAGGGAAGAGAGGACGCGCGCGCGAGCACACGGAACACCCTGGTTATACCGTGTCCGACGTAAACCGAGTTAAACTGTCGGCAGAATGATCTTTTCGGATCTGTTTTTCTTCTACCCCTCTTCCTGGATCTCGTTCGTGGCCTTCTTCAGTCGTAGACGATCCAGAGTAACCCGCGGTTTTCAGGTTTGGAGTTCGTTTGCTTTAACACTAGAACTATTAGGTTCGTAAACTCTTATAGGAAAACTATTTTTCTTTGATTACCCACACTAACATGCTGCTGGTGAATTAAAGAACCATTTCGGAGAGTACTGAATGGGATTCCAGCGATTCGACTGTATCCGAGTTTTTGTCGAAATTTCGAAGGTATCTGGATCGTCTACGGTGATCTTGCAAAAGGGTTTCCGTGAAATCGATTTCGACCCGTATACCAATGATTAGTCACGAACAACCCCTATTTCCATGCGAACGAACCGTCCCTCCGTGATTCCAATTTCCCCAGAAACTCATACCGCGAATTGTTTTTCCTCTTCCGTGGATTCCTCGAGCGAATTCGCGACGCAAAAAGAAACCGGCAAAGGTCGAACAACGCGGAGGAGGCTGGACAAAAAGATGGCGATCGCGATCGGTGACAAGGAATGCGGTAGAAAGTAATACTTACAGCGGGAGCAATTGGCGTTACCGACGATTACGTAAAATCGATCGTCGAAGCGCTATTGTCCCGTCCCGATTTGCCTGTTCCGCGACTTGTCGTCGCGCATTCGACCGTGAAATTCGAGGATTCTTTGTCGTTCGACAAAAAATGGGCGACTCTCGGTTACGTCGAGTTTTGTCAAACGAACGGCCCCTCGACCCGCGAACGACACAACAGCAGCAACCACCCTTCCGCCTATTCGGTCCACGATATTACTTTCGAACCGGGATCGTCGTCTAATATCCGTCTGTTTAAGTTTCATGCTCCAGGAACAACGATCCATCGATGGATCGTGCCCGTGTTTCAAGAGCAACGCTCGAAGAACGCTGCTCGAAGCGGCACGAGATGCGCTCGAATTTCAGAGTTTTACTACTGACTGCGCAGCGCGCAATTATTGCGGTGAAACCGCGGTCACTTTGTAGTTTCGTCATTTCTGCAGATTTTTCTAGCTAGGGGAAGAAGAAAAGAAAGAAAGAAGATTCGCTGACCTGTTGTTAAGCCAGTCCCTGGATTGTAGACGGCGTTCTAAAATTCGTAACGAATCTCGACGGTGGTGATATTTCGACAGGAAATGAAATAAAAAATATGAAGTTTCGAGAATAATACGATCAAGGGGATGGTAACAGGTACGATTTGACAGTCTCTCAGAAGGTGGCTCTTGACACACGCGTAATCGAAAACCAACACAAAATACGAGGTCTCGGTCACTGGAACTATACAGGAGAGAGGGGCCACTGAATGAGAAGAAGAAGACTCGACATCCCATTGACGCCGGCGGCCTTTCTCGCGAGCGGATATTAAAAAAGCTGAAAAAAGGGTGTAGCAGCGTTGGACGGAGGTGGTTCAAACAAAAATCAATTCCGGAGAGGGGAGAACAACTATGAACTCAGGTTCCTCCCATGTAGATACGAATATTCTTCAAATAAATCGGAATTGGAGACGAATTTTCCACAGAAATCAGTAAAATAGTATCATACAGCATGATGTATCCTGTACATTAAATTACTACACAGAAGCTGCTACATTAACCGTACGATGCTGCATTAATTTCAATTTCGTGAAATTCCAGGTATCAACGGAAGCAACATCTCGACACCGGATGATTCGCAAGAAATCGCGATGCAAGGAGAGACAGAGAGTGAGAGAGAAAAAGAGAAAGAGTTGACTAGGCACCGGTATACATGGACGGAAGGAAGATCCATAGGAGCCGAACGAAGTGGAGTGAAGTGGAGTGGAGTGGAGAGAAGTCGGAGGCCTGTTATTAGCGCGAGGTTTATGCTCTTTCGAGTTTTTGCCGGTGGCCCCGAAGACGGAGAAGGAGACGACTGGGCCGCGCAGCCTCGCAATATAAATACGCTTAATAGTTTAAGCACACTCTGGCCGGGGCCCAGGCATATGCTAACCAGCCATAACTGCGGGGCTTTACTACTTTCGTCCACCGAACGAACCGAACCCGACTAACACCAGGCCTAACCGCGCATAGTAGCCTGGCTCTCTCTCTCGTAGGGTGTCTGACTTCAAGGGAGAAGGCGACCTCTCTCTTTCTACGTCCAACGGGACGAAACACCCTCGTAAAACGCGGCGTTTCTCGGCCCGCAATAATCTCTTTCAATTACCGCGTGATCACTGTCATTGTCAGCAACTACGATCGATTGGGGAACAAGGGTTAACCCTTCCGCGATTTAATACCGCGCACTGGACCAAAGCACCGTGGATGTTTGCAGAGTAAAACGTGGTAAAAGTTGGGACGTTGGTTTATTTGAATCTTGAGAACTTTCTAAGAGACTCCCATAGACGACACGATTTGTCGTACGATAAGGTGCACAGAGAGTTGGATAAACGCAAAAATTGTAACTGTCGAAACGTTCTCGGTTGTGCGATCAGTTGTACGATAAATCGTATCGTCTATGGCAGTGTTTTTCAATCTTCTTTTCTCTCACGGCACACTTGAGCCAATAGTTAAACTTAGTTAAACACAGGTTCAAAGTCACTGATCCATGGAGTGTTTAACGTTTAGATATCCGAGAATGATTCACCCCGTGGTATGTATCACTCACCATCAGTTTTAGCTCCTTGAGGGTGATTTCCGAGGAAACTTTGAGCTCGTGGGATCCCTTCAAGTTCCGCCGTGTTCTCGACGGCCTGGTGGTCTGTATCTTCGGTCTCTTTGCAGCCACCTGAAACGACCAGAAGAAACATTGTTAAGTTAACATCGGAACAAAGCTTCATGGGTACGAGGAACCTGGTATATTCTCTATAATATTCTTAACACCCTGTCTGGTCGAGAGTTCGAAAAAGAGACAGCAAAGAAAGGACTGGATTCGATGACGAAGGAAAGAAGCAGGTGGGCCTTTAGGTCGCGTCAGGGAAACTTAATGACGATTATTATCGTGAAATGAATGAGGTGGGGTGGGGTGGGGGGCCAACCTCCTTATCGACCGACATCAATCTGGACCGGTCGACCGGTTTCCAGGACACTCGGGTGACTTTGCACCCTGGCCCATTAACAAAAATCCCTTGTAGCCCCACGTCTCCGAAATTGCCTTTATTCGATCACCGATTCAACCTTAACATTATTTCATTACACGTTCGCTTATACTAACTGACCTCTGTGTCGTTCTCCGACTTCGAATCCTCGTTCTCCTCCACGCATTTTATGTAAATCGTCGCCCTCTCGTACTTCAGGCTCTCCAGACGTTCTTGTTCCACTCTCACCAGCATACAGGCTGCGCAGAGACCTGAAAAACACAAAATATGAATTTCAACCAACTTTTGAATGTTTGTTTTCAATAGAAAAGTGGGTAAATAAAATATGGTATTCGGAAAGTGTCAGAATGATCGACCAATTTCAAGATTCCTTTAACACCCCCGTCCCCGAAACCATCCTTCGTTAACACCCCGCAAGGGGTCAGATTACATCGAGCAGGCGAAGTTACAAAGTCACCGAAAGGGGAGGGAAAATGGGGCTGGAGGGGTGCAGGGAACGATGGTGGGCGGGGGCATTTTGACGACGACGACGACGACGACGACGCCGGCTCGGCCGGTGGCTCTTATCCCATGTATAATAGATTGCTTACGGCCGGCGAGATTAATACAGTAATTAATAATATACGGTGACCAGGACCGCCGTAAGAAGCGGCCATTGTTGCTGGCCGGACAGCGCAAAAACCAGCTCGAACGGCTTTCAGGAGCGTTACGTCATGTTCAGACAGTTTCCCGCTAAAGGGGCTGCTGTCGGGCCAACCCACCCCATCCCTCTCAGAACGCTCTGACCCCGAATGAATTCGAATGTCCACCACCACCACCCTCTGGCCGAGGGAGAGCCTCCTAATTACGCGGTATCGCGCCACTATCCAAGGCAAGAAGAGCCACTCGAGCGATTACCTGACGTTGGTCGACCTGTATATAGGGGGGTGCTTCGAGGTTTTGTCCTGGAACGACGGTCGATTTTTGGACACAAAGACGCCTCCTGGGGTAATGTTCACAACGAGTCAAAAATGAAAATTTACGTTATCGAGTGCAAAATTCAGGGGGATGAATTTCGATCCCAATCGAATTCGAACTTCATCCCTCTGTTTCGCGAAAACTAGGTGAATTACTAATGAGTCGAGGAAAACTTTTTACGGTCCATAGATTTCACCCCCTTCGATTGCGCCTTTTCACGAAATTGCAGCGTATATAATTTCGAAAGATGAGAAGGAGGAGGTTTATGTAAACGGTAAGAAATAAAACGATTAGATTTTAGTTTACTGCGATCGCAGTCCTGTTTTCCGGGAATCACGAAGGGATAGAGGTCTACGTGGCTGTTACTCGAAATGAATTTCAAATGTCCACCCTTGGACCACCAATTACAAGACTGCCGGAGAGGGTGCACGATAGGATCGTTTGCTATCGAGTTTAATCGGAACCTGGAACTAATCAGGGATACGTGTGGGACGACTGAGAATCAGTCGGACGAAACCCCTGAAACCCGTTTTCGAAGTCTTTTCATCCTATCGCTGTATATCATCCCCTTTAGATCGTGTCTACTGTACCTGTTCTTCGATAAACATAGGCAGGAGAGGAACTTAACCCTCTAATGATAAAGTCAGTGTCGTACGCGACCCAAGTTATAGTTCCTCTAGTGCTGTCCCCATTCTATTGTTTATTATTCTCTTTATTACTCTCGTTTTAAAATATTTCTTATTACGTTTGTAGTAAATATTCAATACATATACTATTATATGCTACAGGCTAGACGTACCAGTGAATGAACACGTTGGTTACTCGTCCGAAAATAGGAAAACGAGCTCGAGTCGAATTCGACTCCACCTTATCAAATACGACCTTAAAACCCACCTTACCATCGAGGCTTAATTTTCTCGAAAGAAATGAAGCAAGGAGACGTCGATATTGTATCGAGCAAAAGGAGTGCATCGTTTGGAGAACACAGTCGAGGAGGAATCGCAAGAAGAGAGGAGAGTCGAAAGTCAAGGAGGAATCGCAGGAGGCAGCGATGCGTGTCTCGAACAAACCGACAAGTGGGTTTTATTGGCTAATAATACACAATAGGCTGTAGCGGTTCCCAATAGAGCGGAGCAGCGACGACGGGTTTCCTCGTGTATTTCCCTAAAGTGCCATCGGAGGGCAGTCAAACCATAAACGGGCATCGAAGGGAGGGGAAGGGGGCAAAAACTTGCGACAGGATTAAGCGGAGAGAAGTTTCTCGGGGTTGCGCGATCGAGGCCTCCCTCGATTCCTTTCGGATTTTATCGCGTGCGTGGAAACGGCCCGTCCGGAAATCCCTCGCGGGACACCCAATCGAACTTTTCCTCGAGTTCGAGACGCGTCTCTCTCCCGTGTAATGTCTATCGTGTTCCACAAGAAATCTACTTACAGTGATATCAGTGAAAATACCAAAGACAATTTATCCGAGTTCCGAAAAGATTAGAACTTCTTCGAGAAATAGCTGTCCATTGACATTCAGTCTTCCAGGTCCCAACTGTTTCACCTCCTATATCGATTCTATTATTCTACTTTTACAAATGTTCTACAGATTGATTAGAAGATTTGGTTTTCTCTGATCAATCACTGGCACCGAATTCCTCCTGATCCCCGAGTAATAATTGCGGTGTGCAACTGATCGGTGATCGAATCCAATTACACGGTGCGTCTCTGTCCCCTGAAATTAATCGTGTAATTCCTGGGTCGAGATAGACGCGAGGGGGCTGTGTTGCACCTGAGGCACATGGGGCATCGAAAGCGAAGAGATCGTATTCGTGCATTTTCATAGAATACACCCGAACTAATCAAGATCGATAAATCAAACGAACAGCCGGACAGATCGTATCGGACGTCCCGCAGGAGTTGCAATGACACGAAAACCGGGGGATCAGCTTAATAGCAAAGTGAAGAAAAAAAAATGAAACACGAGGTGTGGGGTAAAAATCAGTGTAGAGGGGAAAAAACAGAACGCTCTAGGGGAAATTCATACCCAGTCCGTGAAATCGAATGATCGACGAGCTTCGAGGAGACGAACAATTTGTGATTCCGTTACGGAAAATCGCATCTACGTGACTCTTTACAAAATCAGTGGAAGTTCAGTAGCAGAAAATATTTCATGAATCTATGATTTGGATTAGAAACTAGGCTGCTTTTACCAGAAGTAAGAAGTTTGTTAGATGTCCGGGAGATCAGGAGAAACATCCCTTCTACGAAAGTTCCGTTGACTCTTCGATCACAATCGAAGCCGCGTTAAGCGAAAGAACAGGCGGCGCGGCATTATATTAAAGGGTCCATGGTTGACTTTCATTCATAACTCGGAATTCATCCCGTGAATAAAAGATTGATGCTTGTCAGCCCTTGTACGACGAACATTCCACCCACCCCCGAACGTGTCTCGATTTGCAAGGCATAGTAAAATAATGATTTTAATAAATTGTGATTAAAATTTTGTCCAAAGAAGGTTTCAACATGTTAAACTGTTCTTGTAAATCATTTACATGTCGTCTAATATACACAAAAATGCAAGAAAATATTTCTTTGGTAATGTTTAAATAATTTAGGAATGAAAAGGATAATCGTCGATTTTCACTGTGGAATAAATCTTCAAAAGGCGACATATAAAAAATTGTTTTACAAGACGACCAAGTGGCGGAAATGAGCAAGTTATATATAAGTTGTAGCTAATGGAACGAGATGACAGCACAGAAGGAATTTACCGAATGCAAGGAGTGGCGCGGTTTCCCTCCCCTGTTTCAGGGCTCTAACGATGCCGGCCGAAGAAGGAGAAGATCGTCGTAACAATCATTTCGCTAACGAACGTCTTCGACGCGCCACAACAAAGTCGAAATATAATCCTCTTACCCGCGAGAGGAGAGTTGTATATACGCAGCCGGGTCGCGCGCGTGTAATCGGGGGCTTAAAAGCTGGCATTACCACGCGGCTTCCCGGATCCGCAGCGGGAGAACCCGGCCGCGTGTCTCGAGGAAATCGGAAGGACGCTAATGGATGCCCGATCGACGAGTTAATTAAACGAGCAACCGTGGTTTGCGGCCCCAATTTCGCGAAACAAATAAGTCTTCGGCTCGTTTCACGTAGGGAATTTACAAAAGAATCATATTTAATACATATATAATCTGATAAGGATAAACGAGGATAAGTCCTCATTAGTATACAAAAGTGTCAATATTGAAATAGTTACGTAAAACGCATATAAGTTTGCATCGTTTAAACCCATTAAGTTTAATAGGGTCTGAATTAGCCAGTGATGATATATGTATAACGAAGTGGTACAATAGTCCGTGTGAATCTGAATAATTTCGTGGGGGTATAAAGATTTTGGTGGCATGACGAAGATTCGAAGACGAAATAAAAATGCTTCGAAATATGTACGATGAAGCATTAGATCTGGAATAATCTTGATCAAGAACGATCTCTCTACCTTTAACCAAAAAAGAATACCCTGTTTTCGCCCTTCTTTGTTCAGGAGACCTTAAATTTCCCGGACGAATGAAAAAAGGCAAACCGGAGTCCAGCGATCTGTACGATTAGGCTTCTGGATTAACGAAGGCTCTCCTCGCTGTCAGTATCGCGGAACAACCCCACGGGCGTTGCGCCAGTGGTAAACGAGGGCAGAAAGGTTCTAAGTGAGCTTTATCCTCGTTTTATCTTGTTTTCCAACCGTCTCTCGATCCCCTCCCGCGCGACCAGAGGACGAGCATCGGTCATCTAGGCGCTCCATTTAATCCTGCTGGAAAAGAACCCCCCCGTCGCGCGGAGACAAGTGGGGGATATCCTGCAGGATCAGAGAGAAGGAGCAAGATGAAGGAGGGGGATACAGGCCCCAGAAACCGGCGGGATGTCGCTAATTCGACCCTTCGAAACTTGACCTGCTCTCTCGACTTTCCGACCGTCCTGCTTCCCACTTTAATTCACGGCGTTATTTTCTCCGCCGCGAACTGATGACTCCTCTTAATTGTCCGTGGCTAATGTTATCATTTATACGTCTACCCTACAGATATATGTTCAGCTCCTGCATCAACTGTGGTCCTGAAACTCCTGGAAAGATAATCGAAGCTTTCTGATCCAGGATTTTCGAAAGTTCATACATGATCTCAAGTTACAGAATTTAACTAAAACGTATGATTATGTATTTTAGCATTTTATAACAAGACCAACATATTCCAAAGAAATCTGTTCCAAAACACGTCCAAAGATAGATGAGCAAGGATCTATCTGAACGCAAGTATGTACCGCCGTCTGATAGATCATCGAAAAACGTTCGCCTTCCGTGTGTTAAATATCATCCAGCTTCCAGAAACAGAGATCAATTTTCGAGAGCATCCACCGTTCCCTGTGAACAAGTCGCAAAGTCGTGTCCATTGGTCGGCGAATGCATATATTAAGACGTGTCCGGCGCACTTGTCGCAGCGGGAGAGGAGGTCTAACAAATGTCCCTCCTGAAGTGTTTGACCCCTGGCAAGTTGAACCACCACCGTTCCCACCCCCTGGTAGACTAAATCTCGTAGTCGTGATCCCTCCAGAGGACGCGTTTATGGAAGGACGACCAGTACAACGGAGCCGAACCCGACCGCGCGCAGCCACCGGAGGAAACTAATCAGCAAATTCGTGTTCTAAATCTAAATCGCCGTCCGAATATTAATTCGAGGCCAGTCTGTCTCTGTCCCACTGGCCGAAACGACGGCGGGCCAAAACTCGCGTCGTTCTCCCTCCTCTCCTTTCTGCGGGCGCCTCCTCGTTCCCCAACGTTTCTAGGTTTTGCGATACAGCCCAGTAGCGTAGCTAGGCTGATTTGTGGCGCCTGGCTGCCGCCTAAACGATATTTACGACTGTCGTTCACGGAATCGAAACACCGTGGCGCTCGCTGAATAGCGGGAGGATAGTCGAGGCTTTTAATCGCGGGTCGAAAAGCTGGCCTTCCCGGAAGAACCGAATTCGGAGTCCCGATGGCGCGAGTAAAAAGCGTCGCGACGAGGAACTGGTTGAAGGAACCAGGACTGGAGACTAATTCGATTTCCTCTGTTCGTTTCTTTCGCAGTTTGGGGGACGTTTCTTCAACCGTGCGTGTACGTTTGCAAGTTTTCTGAATCCGACATTGTTCTCGATTCATCAAAGAATTTCTCATACGAGGATCGATTCTACGGTTTCGTTCCTATTTAACTTTTTGCGATTGGAGCGCGCTGTGGCATAGGTACTACCCTGCTGCTCCCCTACCTTTTTACTGAACTCAGGAGAAGGTTACAAGTGTGTTAGCAATTTGCTTACACATGATAAGTTAACTTTCTTTGCTTCGATGGCTAACAGTAGACACACCAGACCGTCAAAGGATTAATTTTTTCTACTTCGTTCATTAAGTGTCACGAACAATTAAATGTCTATCCCTCTTTTCCTAAATCTACATCTCTACCATCGCTATATCTGCACGTTACAGAGATCCTTCCCTATGGAACGAGAAGGGCCAGACAACGAGTCCAGAACAAACAGACAATTTAGCTCCATTTTAAGGGCACGAACCAGCCCACGACGAAACAAGAGAGTGAACCGAGGTGGGGGCACGAGCTAGCAGTTGGTATCCCCCGCGTGAACAAAAAAAAAGTCGGGGGTTGCTTTCGGTGACTGATACGGCCCTGACTAACGAGCCTCCGCCGGACGATCGTTCCACTCTTAAAGGCCTCGAAGGGTGGTCCCTCCCTCCCTTTCCTCCCTCTCTCGTTCCGCGTCTTTTCCAATTTCTTTCTCCGTCGTTCGCGGAGGCACATTAGGCACCGTCCAACCTCGTATCAATCACTCGACAACCCTGATCGCCCTGGCTCCTTCTTCGCCTGGGCTCGGTTGACAGAACCGGAGGTGACGCGATTGAATACCACCCTCCGGGCGCGCTCTCGCTCCCCCCTGGGCCACCAGCATGAGCGCGATCACCGCTAGAAAACCCGGGGAAGGAAATGTTTCTCGTCCGACTGCACCCCGGTTAATGGCAGACAGCCGAAAGAGACGATGATCTCCGGGGGCTAACGATCTCTCTCCAGGGTTCATGGACCGGCGATAACGCAATACTCCGCCCGACCAGGTGTGCATTCAGATGGAGAGTGTTCGATCGTCTTATATTATTCGGAATGTGTCAATGTAAGTAGAATTCCTAATGTGCCCAAATCTGTGCAATAAAAACGATACAAGAGCTATTCTCATTGGGTCCTCTAGCGAGAGAATCACCCTGTATAACTACAAAATATGGCCGAAAATTATCCGACTGACACGTACGCGTAGGATAGTACTCTGGTAGTAGCGACTACGGGTCATAGTTAGGCTTGACTTACAGTTCAGACCGAATGAGTTAGACCTATATGTATAGGTCACCAAGCGTATCCCTATTTTAATCGAACCACGAACACGTAACCGGCAGAGGACGATCAATCGGGGGATGTAGATCAAGCGGCACGAGGACCTCGTAGAAGATATCACGGTTTAAAACTGTTAAACGACGTCTCCATCTGGGCGATCGGTTCGCGGGCCACTGGATACAACACCACACACCCGGAGCCGAGATGCCGGGCTATTTCGTCGATCGTCGGGGTCCCCACACACTTTTGCAATTCAAATGCCCGCGCCGCGGCTCAGCAACTCCGGTGGATCCAGCGGGCGAGGCAGAGAGCCTTGACAAATGTCGCGGGGAAAAAAGCCCGCGCCATCCGCGACCGAGAGACGGACAAGACAATGGGATGTTTAGAGGATCTCGGAGCATCTCTCTCTCTCTTTCTCTTGGAAGACGGTTCCTCGAGCAACGGAACTGGACGTGGAACATCGGTAGGCCCTCGAGGATATCCCCCCCTGGTGCTACCGTTCGTGAGCCAATTTGCCTGCCAGCCTCGACGACAAGGATCAGTCGTTCGACAAAGTGGGCTTGCTTGCTTGCTTGCCTGCTTGCTTGCCTGCTTGCTTGCTTGCTTGCTTGCTTGCTTGCACACGAGCGCGCGTGCCCCGATTCAACGTCCGCGTAAATCTGATGAGGGAGTTTTGGGCCCTCTCGATGCTCGAAGGGAGACATTGTGTGTGTGGAATTGAATTGTACCGGCTATGACTAGCTTCTTTTAATATCTCCTCCTACCGTTCCTCCTATTCCTCTTCTTTTCATTAAACGGCACAAGGATTTGTTTCATGTGTGTTTTGTTCACTTTTTTTCTTCTGGTACAGATAATTCGATCTTAAAGATATCTTAAGCCTGGTATACACTGGCACTTAATCGTCCATGCACTAAGAGTTTTGTTTAATCCCTTAATACCTAGACCCTTAAATAGTTATTTCAAAATTATGATAACATATTTAAATTGCTTTTATGCCTTTTTATCCCTGTAACACCCAAACAACCTCTCCCGGTAAAAGAAAAATTATTTCTAGCGATTAGTTATCTCAGAAGTAGTCCCAATATGTGCACCTCATCTGTATTTTCACGATAAAACCCCTGGAAATATGATTTTCTAGGTTAAGTAACTTGCACATAATTGTTTACAGAGCGTGTCCAAATGTATGCCAGAGACTTTAAGAATTCCAAACGAATGAAAGACAATCGGCAGAGGCTACAGCAGGGGTGGAAAACTTTTAGAACCCCATTTGGACCAGCACCACCACTCTACCACTTCACTCTACTCTACTCCCCCGCCGTGCCGGTTTTTCTGTCGGTTAATTTTCAGGATACTTCGTAATTATAATGAGACACTTTGGGCTCTGCCGTAGAAGCGTACCCGACGACGGAGGCAGGCGAAACAAACGTAGGAAGGGGGATTTATGTAAATCGACGGCTAATGTCTTCTGGCATTATTCCTTGGGCTAGGTCTCCGACAGGGGAAGACAGTAAACCGAGGGTATGAGGATGTATACACGCACACTTCCTCGCTTAAGATGTCTCTGTTTACACACACACACACAAACTGGAACAATCCTCAATTTCTTATATGCATATGCTGTTACGTGTATTTTATTTATTTATTTATAATTCACGAAACACTGTTTATTAAGAAAACTTTATCACAACAAATAGAAGAGTGCAGAGTGATTTTTCATAGCGTCGCAACAATACGATCTAAAAATCGACCCTTAAACTCGGCCGACCTGTCAATATTCTAATCACTCTCTCGATCAAATCGTAATCAGTCAATTTAAAAGAAATATCCACGCAATTGATTAAGCCACAAATAAACCCCGGACATATTGAGAGATCCCGGTTACGAGCTCGAGTGCAGAGATTTATCACACGATTCTAACGAAGCTTTACAAGTTAGAAAAAGAAACTCGAGTTTGGAGCTGGAGTAAGAGAAATATATCGGACGAGTCCGTGCTGTTGCGCGCGATTAAGCCACAAACATATTCTAGACATACACACACGTTACAACGGCGAGATCCAGTCGAAAGCCAAAAACAGAAAAAAAAAAAAAAGTAAACGACGCGGCACATGTCAGTGTGCGTCAGATTGTGTACCGATAATTAGACTGGGCACGTAAGCACAGGGAAAAAGAAGGAGATAGAGAGACATGGGGGAGCAGCGTTCTGGTAACGATCCGCCTAGGGACGATCGTTTACATAATGACTCCCCCGGAATCGTACGAAAATTAATTGCCGATAAGATCGAACGGTCCCAGGATGGAATAAAGAGAAAGCCGTTAATTGCACGATCGGTCTTCGGCCAGGCGGTTTACCAGGAAATTGATACGCCTATCGACGCACATGCGCCGAACGATAACCGTCTCAAGTTATAATCAATTCAATTCACATTTCCCCCTCCCCCATTTGTACTTTGTCGCTTTCTTTTTATGGGATTCACCAGTCATCGAACACGCAGGACAATGTCCAATCTCCTGGTCGCACGTAATTAATAATATGACGATATCAACGTGTTATCGTTGTCTCATTCGAGTATTATACGGAGATTACAGAATTATTGGAGGTAACATTGGCGGAGAGAATGTATTTGTACTCACCAGGATTGGTGTAGAACTCCGAGCCACTCTTTTTTATGACGACTGGATGATCGACGTCATAGAACTGCATTAACTTCGACCACTCCTCCGCGGTCACTATTGTATACCTGTAATAAAAGGTGGAAAGAACGTTTGTACAGAACATTGTTTGTAAAGAAAAACGGCGAAGAGAATTTAATAGCAACTCGACGTCACTCTTTGCAACTCACAGTGCAACATATCGATATTGCAACAAATACCTATTGTGAAATATAATAAATTCTCGTTTGTTTTTTTCTTTCACCGAAACGTTATTTAACTTCGATACACTGGAACGATCCTCGGTCGATTGTTCGTGCAAATAATGCTACAACATTGAAACGCGCGGCGCTGGGTCGATTCCGCGATCGCGGCAGGGGCGTATTCGCAGGGCGGAATTCACGATTTCCCGACGAACGGCGGTAGAATCCGTGATGGTTTTTGCCCCGTCTCCCTTAATTATACCGCAAATTAGAAATTTCTTGCCGCGACGCCCAGCTCCAGCTTTTTGCCCCGCAATTGTTCACCCGATCCTGGCGTGGTTCCTGAAGCTTCTCCGCGCGCGAGAGCACCTCGCCAGAATCCTCGCGCCGCGCTATGATCGATAACACTTTGAAAAATCCAGTTGAATAGACTATTTCCAAGAGCCCTATTCAGCTACTGTTTTCTCTAAAAGGCGGACAAGGAGATGCAAAGTGTCCTTAAACCGATTTCGACTTGTACTATACCATTCGATAGCTTATCAAGAAAATATCATATGTATCAAGTTTCAACCCTCTATCTCGACTAGAATGAAAAAAGTAATAGGGAAATTTCGGATTGTGGTTTTTCCTCTATTTTCCCTATTTAGCGACGTGCAACAATTCCGTAACCGCATAATCAAAATTTTCCCTATTACTACCCTTCTGATCGAGACAGAGGGTTGAAACTTAGTATACATGGTATTGTTGGATGGTATATCACAAGTTCAAATCGGTCTGAGGGCACTTTTGACCCCCGTATCCGACTATACCCTTTCAATAAAAAACAGCCCTCGAATGATGCAGAGATTTCAATGATCGCATAGAAGATGAGATTTTAACCCGTCAAGTTTTATGACAATAATCTTTCAGAATCCTAGAAATTAATGAAAATCAATTCTTCATGGAAATCTCAGTGTTCCATACGTTATGTTCCAATTCAATTGGGAATTATCGCGGGGGGATAATAAAAATTAGCGGGAATACGGGTTCAGGGGCGCGAGGGTGGGAAATTTATGGAGGCGCGCGATGGAACGAGCCACGAGCCGGACCGATACGGGACGACGATGACTCGGGGGCCCCGATAATTAGTTGCGCGACATTAATTTCGATTCAGCGCAATATGCCGCGCGCGCGGTCTCATTTGAATTTTCACGAGGCAAAAACCGCGGGGACGAGCTTGTCGTCTCTCCTCCGTATATTTGCCTAACGCCCGAATAATGGTGGATGCATCGAGGAGTAGGCTTGGTGAAAAAGGGGGGATGGGAATCGGAGAAATCCTCGTCGAGAGGGAGGATGAAAAAAAAAAGAGAACACGGTCCGGGAGAAGTGACATGATATTACCCGCTTCATTGAATTTAATTACCGCCTAATGACGGATTATAAATTAATCACTATCCTCGAATCCTAAAGACAGTTATAAAATAATTCAATTTCCATTGGGCAGAGACAGTCGAGAGAGGACCGACGGAAAATGATTTTTTAACGGTCTCGACCAGAGGGTGAGCAGACGGAGGACTTAAGCCGTTGGCTATCTTAGGCAGATAGTGGACAATGGTTTAGCATAATGGTCAGAGGGTGGATGCCACCGTTGGCCCCGGGGCCGTGCCGGTGACATTTTCGCGTATCCATCACGTCAAGCGGCCTCTGTGGACAGGGAAAGGAAGAAGGGAGTGCCAGGAGGTCACGCACTTTCGCTTTATAATGCTGTGACACCCCCGGAGAAGATCTTTTCTGCGACTAGACGTTCTGATTTCCTCTTGGATCGAATAGAAATGTCTTAATAAACTCTTCTGAATCGAGTTTATTAAGACATTTCTATTCTGAATTCAGTAAATTCTTTTCATTTCGTACGAACTTCTTTCATTAGTCCCACATAAGCCAGAACAGATTCAAACAGAAAAAAAAAGAAAATAGAGGTTACTTACAAGTCGTTGTTAACCGTGGGTGAATAAAGAAATCCTTTGTGTGGTTCACATAGGAGCAAGGCGTTCCGTATCCCTGGTGGTGGCGCTTTCGAAAATACTTCAGCGTACCTGCAACGAAAATATTCAACAATTAAACCAGTAACTTATCACTCCATGCACGATAAACCAATAAAAAAATAATACAGCAAAGTTTGTCCTTAAAAGACTCGCCCCTAACGACATAACATTTTCCAAAACCCACCCCACGACGTGAAATTTCAAACGACCGTCACAGAGACGCGAATGATAAATCCCCAGGCATTAAAAATATATTTCCAGGATTATTTTTTACGAACACTGTCAGCCCAGTTAATCGTTTCGAATAATGCAACCTCGCCCGTGACACGTCTTCTGGGTCGTGGACCAGAAAGACGACGAGGAGGACCGCTTCCTTCGGGACATTCCGGGTGGGGTGGATGGGGGTGGAGGGTAGAGATGTGTCGGGGGATTGGGGTTGTGCATCATTTTTCACATACCACGAGGGGGCGGACGGTTTTTGCCGTCTCCCTACCTCCGTACACCATCCGGATAATGCTCTTAAAGACAGATATCTCTCGCGAAACGAGCCAGGTACGCGATCCAGTCTTGCTTGCACGAAGAATGACAACCACAAAATTTTGCGTGAAAATAATAAATTAGAATGACGATCCTACGAGTTGAAAATTACCGTCAAAAGACAGAATTCGATTTAAACTCTCTCAAATTTTCACTTCTTCCGGTAACTTCAACTCTTTCGGTACATTATGAATACAGTACTGAAGAATATTACGCGGTGACAGCCATTCTCATCGAAAAAGCTTCAGACGCAATGCTCAAATCTTCTGTGCTTCGCAATCGGACACTAATTCCGTGAAGCAGATGAAGTAGCAGAAGCATCCCGATAGGAATGGAAGAACAACTTCCGCGCGTTATAAGCCCGGATAGAATCGACAATTGCAGAAACGTGTTCCTGGCGAGAGAAGGAAGAGGAACAGCCGGAAAAAATAGACGCACAGAAAAGGGAAGATCGCGGAAAGCGTTCGGTAACCGCAAGAACGCCATGAAGTGCAAATACGGAGGATTTTAAAAAATTTCTCTCACGGTCGGATTGCCCCGGGTTTTCCAGGAGCGAATATGCGCGTATTAATTATGAGGCTTGTTCAAACAGTCGAACGGGAGCGAGAGGACGTAGGGGAAAAATTGGTCACCCTTATTACAGTCGAACCGAGGACATTCTCTTGTTGTCCGTGCTCCCTGTGTCCCTCCGTTTACCCTCCTCTCCTCCACCACTTGCCTCTCTCGATCCACCTCCGTTATTTCTCTTTCCTGCTCTTTTTTTATTCCTCATTCGAGGCTTTGTTTAACTTCTGTCGCGGAATTTTTTCGAACCCGCGACGATTATTGCTCCCAGGAGATGGTGGAAAACAGAAGTGGAGAACTCCTGTACAGGGGGTGGGCTTTGACCGTCGCCGCTAGGGTGGAGGGAAAAGGGTCACTCGCGACGTCCGAGGAAATCGTTTGGAAATGCCTCGATTATTCGATGGTAAAACCACCCCCTTGCATGCTTCAGAAGACTCCTCGTTTGCTTCTGGAGTTTTTGGCAAAATCAAATTCTTTTCTTACAATGTTTTCAGTGTTAACCCTTTGACTGCGAACCATACGGAAAACTGCCTAAAAGCGCTGTTCGCAGTCAAAGGGTTAACTCGGTGCAAAAGGGTGCAACGATTCTTTGAAAGAGGTACTCGAGTAATCACGAAGTTCGACAGATTTTTCCACAGTATTGAACTCCAATCACTCGAACAACCGAGAACTCACATACACCCAACTGCGTCGATTCGCTCGCGGAATATCTCCTTGTAATCATTGCGGTTTATATGATCACTGCGGTCGAGATATCATTATTCGGGTACCGGTGCGTAATATCCTGCTCTATGCACGAACGAGCCTGGAGACAACGCGATGATCCCACCCGGAGTACTTTAATCAACAGTGATACACCATCGAGTCTCTGTCTTTCCTCGAAGAAAACGACGACGACGACGACCCCGAGGACGTCCACCGTTCTTTGCACTCTCCGCTGCAACGACACAGAACGATTTCAATTTCACGCTGTCAGCCGTATTAGCTACCCCCTTCCTGTCCCCCAACAACGCCACTCCGGTAAATCCCTTTTCCTTTGACGATGATAGCTTATTTTTCCCCGTACAAAAAACGACGCGAATCAACCACCGTCGATCGACGCCGCGAACACTGGTAGCAAACGCAAATTGTCCTCGATGATTGCAAGCCCGAAGGTGGTCATTATTCCACGCGAGAAAGCAAACAGCACGAATAAATAATAAATATTCGTAGCAGATTTCTAACGAGCCAATTACAATTCCAGGACGTATGAGTTTTGCGTAGCGAGTGAAAGACAGAAAAGGGAGGATTGTGCCTGACAAGAAGGTTCGCGGAGCGACGGAAATAAAGATCTTTCTCATTGGAACGTACGTACGTGCTCGAAACAGCAATCTTTTCATTAGCAACGTCAAAAGTGACACACGGCGAAGAAAAATCGCCACGAAGGGGACAACAATACCATTCCTTTTCACCCCCTAAGGCATCCCTTTGAATGGTCTCGACCGATGGTTCGATATTAGCTCGAGCAAACCGCTTACGACGAGGACGACACGATTATTCGAACCGAAACCAAGGGGGTGGAATCCTCTCTCCGTTTCACTCGCCAACACCCCGATAACCTTTCCCATATATCCACCCTGGTTTCTTCTCTTCACACTGTCTTTTCTTTCCCTCGTTTCTGCGAACGTCCAAGCGTCAAAACTTCGATTATAATTAGATACTCGGAAGATTTTGCAAAATAAAACAAAATTTCAAACTTTAGAATCCTAGAGACTACGATACTAAATACTAGAGATTACCTTACGTTCTGAGTGGGTCAAAATCCTGAGACAAAATCGCATGAAAATCTCCTAAGGCTAGTGTATCGGCATAAAAAAGATTCGTTGGACACCAGTCGCGTAAAAATCCCCCAAGAGCAGTGCATCGGAGGCGAAGCGTCATCACCATCGCGGTAGGGACACAAACGGACCAGCCAGAAGACACACACGATATACCGTGGGCCCCTGTCCCGTGGCTAAAAGTAGTGCAAGAAAATAATAGAAGCGAGTATGATCGCGTCGGCTCGGATAACGAGCCGGATGATTTACAGTTTATCCTTACACCTCCATTTACGAAGGGACCGGGAGGAACTGTGATCGCTTTAAATTCGCTCTCGTTGATGCAACTGGTCGTCCACCAAGGGAAGAAGAGGAAGGGGCTGGAAGGAGGGGGGGGGGCGAGACGGTCTGTTTCTCATCATCCGGTGCCCCCTCCCCCCGCCCTTGGGTTTCTCTTCTTATTTTCTGAATGTCCCGCGGTACCGGGCGCAACATTGTTTTTCTCCTTCCTCGTCTCTCCTTTCTCCCGCCACTCTTCTCTTCATCTCTTTTTCTTTGTCGATTCGTGGACAAGAGAAAGAGAGAGAGAGGGAGAGAAAGAAGGAGAGCTTTTGGGATTCCTTTTTCGCCAGGCCCCGACCGGACACCGGTGGACCTTTTACCACGGACACGTACACTCTGGGGCCCCCCTTCTCGTAATGATCGCAACGCTCCGATGCGTCCGGCTTACGGGAGAGTGCATCACCCAGAAGATGCATCTTGCTTGACCATATACCATCCGTCCTTCTTGATCTTGCGTGATCCACGGTGGCTCTTGATTGTTATGTTATAACTTATTATTGTGTTATTACCGTGGCGGTCTCGATATACATATGCCGACCCCAGTGGTTTCGGAGAACAGAAGCCTGTGCTTCATTTTTTCTCGCGTCGAACAGGGAAGGAGGGATTTCGTTCACGAGGGGGAGATGTTAGTTGCCTTTATGTTATACATTCCAGTTTTTAAGTATATTGGGACACTTGTCGAATATGCAGTGAATGTTGGCAGGCATTACGAAATTACTGGAAGTTTGGAAGAAATATTGTCTAAGGAATATTAATGCTAGAACTACCAAACAAATCAAAATCAACTGATTTTACATACATGAAAAATAGGGGTGGACACAGGTGAGCAGAGGAACACGAGAAGGTGAACGAAGAAAGCGATGTCTTTTCGTCGCGAGATCGAGGACGATTCGGGAACGTTTAGTCAAATACCGTCGGTAGGAGCGGTAAATCAGGGAAAACCTGGGGACAGTCGTGTTCCCCCCTACTTCCCTCTCTTGTGCCGGAAGACAAATGTCACCGGGGAGCCTCGGGGCAGAGGGATGGGTGGCTTTTGGCCTCCTCTTCTCCACGCGTAGACGCATGGTCGCGGAGCCGGTAAATCAAGCCCGGTGATATTAAAAGGCCGCTTATACGCGAAAACACAAGATTTATTTCTGCTGAAAAGGAGAACCGGCAAGAAATCGCTGTATACGAAGCGACCCCCCAATCAATGGAGACAGAGACCCGTAGAGACGAAGAGCCGGACCAAGAGAGGGATCGATTCGAAATTAACGGAATGGAAAGAGGAGAAAAGAAGACGATCGAAGGAAGAAACCCGAGGATAAATAGAAGACACACGTTATTCTACAAGTAAAATCGACTTCTTGCGAAGCAGCTGAGGCTCTACTCTACCGATGCAGAAAAATCCAATTTGTAGATCTTAGGAGATAGAGGCAGGGAGTTTTTTCGAACATCTCGGAGGAACGTTAAGATATTCGTCCAATAAAAATTAATCGTAGACCTCGAAGAGGTTAAAATTCTATCCTTTTACTGGTATATTCGTAGTGACACGAAATTCCTCGACGATTCGTGGATGGAGATCAAAGAATATCGGTTACGATTTCGCGTTGGGGGAGCACACACAGAAGCTTTCCGCATCCAGGATCGCTGATCCAGGGAGACGGTGGCTGCCAGCATACCGGTGATCGCCGGAGCATCGTCCACAGATTTCGTTTTTACGCCCGACGATCTTCTTGTTTGCTCAGGGGGACTCTTCTCTCGGTCGCGAGATAGCGTTCCCTGCGGACGGGGAACACAGGACTGCCGGGGACTAAATTTACGCCGGTCGAG